GGAGCATCGAGGCTTGCTTCCCAAAGCCGCTCCGCGGCAGCCCTCCGGAGCGGCGGGAGAAGATGCCGACGGGGCTGCCGTGTCCTTGGAGGTCCGTGGTGGATGCTCAGACAGCTTGGGAAAGACCTGACAGAGCAATCCCGGAGGCTCGGCCAAGATGAGGGTTGGGAGAGCGCGGGGGGATGCTCATGATGTTGTTTCACCTGCTCTCCCTTTTCCATTTGCTAGCGTGTCCCGCTGGACAGGAGAAAGCAGCTGCCGCAGGATGCCCACGGCCGGCCGGCCCGGCCCGGGAGCCGGTCTGGGTGGATGTGTAGGCAGTGTGGAGGATTTCAGAGCTAGCCTTGAAAGCGGTAATTCCTCACTCTTTTCCCCCCCCTCGGCAGCTCGGACTCCGAAGGTAATTTTGAGACCCCTGAAGCAGAAACGCCGACCCGCTCGCCACTAAAGGAGTTCTGCGAGCCGCCGCTGGGATCGCCGGAGCCTGAGGCCGGGACCCAAGGTAAAGAGCCAGCGTGCACCTTCTGCTTTTCGGCTCTCTGCTCCGGATGCGGAAAGGCAGGGTGGGGTCAAGGAGGAGAAGTTGCTTGTTTTGTATAATGCCTGCCACATTTTTTGTGGTTAATGGCCTGGATGGTTCAAATACCAGTACTCGGGGCTGTGCGCTCTGCAAAGGGCTATTCTCTCACTTGAGTGAAAGGTTGATTTTATTGAATCACTTTGGAGGGAGGGGGCTGCACTGCAGGCTCAGAAGAGTCAATTTGCCCCCCCCTTAGCTCATGCCTACACAGTGCAAAATTATCATTGTGCTGTTTTGCAACCACCGGTCGCACCCTCCTGCTGTCCCCAAGCTGGGGAGGGAGCGAGAGGCTGCAGGAGGCAGAGCTCTGAACGTCGGGTTTTGTGAGCTGCCGAGCTGGGCTGAGGCTGCATCCAGGGCTGCAGAGGCTGCAGCCAGGATGGCTGCAATGGATTGATCGAGAGGAACAGAGGATGTTGTTGAATCATTTTGTCAAACTGCCCTCTGCCACTTTCCCTACAGACTGCACAGCACTTGGGGTTGCCTCGTGTCGCTGCCTGCTGTGGAGAGCGGGCTGCTGGCTGGTGGGAGCTGCCCCGCATGTGCCCCACATGCCGCTCGCCCTTGGCCCTCGCACAGGAGCTGGCGTGGTGCTGGGCTTGTGTCCTCCCCCCAGCTGGTCGGTGGTGGAGGTTTCATTGCACGGGTCTCTTTCCCCTGGAGTTAGCTGCCAGGTGTCTTTGCTGTGTCGCTGCTGTTAATCATGCAAAAGCTCGACACTGCTAAACCCCATTTCTGGAGAAATTGTGAGGGATCTGTTGAAAACGCAGGGGGTTTCCTTTGCCGGTGGGGTCCTGTGCTATTGCTGGTTTGTCCTTGCGTGTCTCACCGGCTGCTGCTCCTCTGAGCATGGCTCCCCATTAACCCTTGGCCTTTTGGGGACCAGCTCCCCCGTGTCGTTGTACCCTTCTCTCCATGGGGAATTGCGGTTGGTGTCTGTGGCTGAGCTTGGTGTTTATGTCTGTTTTCGTGCTGCCAGGAGGAGGCTTTGAAGTTCCAGCACCTCTGCAACAACTGCTGGAGGTTATCGGGGCAGGGAGGAGACCTCCCCTTTCATCTGCTCTCTCAGCAGAGCAGGATGACTGGGCAATGTCAGGATGTCTGTGAGCCCCCGGGGCTGTCTGCAGGAGGGCAGCCTCTCCGGGGCGCAGGGCAGCGCATGGGGGGCCGGGAGGTCCTGGACAGGCCATCCTGAGCATCCTCTGCCCTCTCTTGCCCAACTGCCTCTCGTTGCTGCAGGGCCCCTGGTATGGGACTTGCAATACTGTGCTTTTCTTGAATGCTCGCAACCACAGGCTGGTAGCTTACTGCTCAGCTGAGTTTCAGAGCGTGCTAGCTCAAACCAGACCCTGGGTCCTCCCCGTGTGGGAGCCCAAGTACTGCGTGACCTTGGCAGTAACAGGGTGCCATGGTTCCCCATCTCCTGTGGTGTTGTTTCCATCCCCATGGAAAACACAGGTTTGTTTGCCTTGATGGAGAGAGCACTTGGTTCATGCTTCTGATAATCGCAGTTCTTGGAATAATCCTTCCCTTTTAAGAAGGGATGATAGAGGCATCTTTACTTTGGGTGATAATGTCTGGGGAGGAGGAGAGGGGAGATAAAGGCTTTCCTAGCAGGTATGAGGATTATTTCTGCCAAAGCTTCTGCTTAGGGAAGCGCGTTGCCTCAGACCCCAGGGAGTCACCATCCCCAAAGTGCGCCTGTGCCCCTGCATCCTGGGATGAGCAGTTCCTCGGGGCCAGCCTGGCACAGCAGCAAGGGAGCCGGCTGCTCCCGGCACCTCATGCACAAAGGTTGCAGTGTTGTGGAGCCGAGGGGATGATCTCTGGCAAAAGCTGTTTTTCCATGCTGGCTGGTGGAGAGCGGGATGTTGGAGACAGCAGGGCCAAACCCGCTGTGTGACTGCACCCAGCTCCATCCCTTCCCTGCCCAGGGCTTCGGGTGCATCTCTTCAGTGTCTCTGAAATGGTGGAGGGATTACCCGGGTGCGGTCGTGAGTTTGCGGTGTGCAGAAGGCATCCTGGGGTGTTAAATCGCTGTACCTTAGGTAATCTGTACGTTAAGCTCTCATCTTCGCAATGCTGCTTTACAGCAGCATGTGCCCTTTCATCTGGCTGCAGCTCAGGAGCAGCAGCGGTAATAAATGCTGCGATCGGGAGGCAATCCAGCATAATGGCTGCTTGTCAGTAGTGAAACCGCCGAGCTGTCGTGTGTGGCGAGAGCTGCTGCCCTGCAGTCGTTGGGCAATAGCTGCTGCAAATGCCTGTGTGCACCTGGGCCAGCGCGGGAGGGGGGGGGGCAGCTGCACAAGGCCAGACCTGCGGGCAGGCACACAGGCAGGCACAGCCTCTCCCAGGCTTGGGGAGACCAGCAGGAACAGACGCTCGTCTGTCTTACAGCTGCAGTCTCAGCCTTACTTGGGAATAAATAGGGTTAGGAAACTTGTAAGGCAGAAGCTGTGACTCCGGGGGCTGGCTGCTCTGCGCACAGCTGAGAGGTGGCCTGGATGCATTAAACCCCGTTCTCAGGGACAAAAATTCAGCCTGTCCCATTGCCCCGGGGAGGGGGCTGCGGTTAGGCTTCGTGCCCATTCAGGATCACTCGAACAGTTTTCCTCTTGCTGTCTCGGACAGTGGAGGCTGTAATTCTGTCCCATTCTTGCTAAAGTTATCTTCAGTCATTTGCCAGAAGAAGATATTCTGTGCAAGGAAATGAGCAGAAGCAACAAATATGGAACCGTCAGTGATGGAAGCAGGCTCATCGGCTTTTACTTCTGTTACCCTGATGCAGGGCACGTGTTTTCCGGTACGTTAGTGGCAGCATCGTTTGCCGGTATGCTAATTCTTAACAGAATAGATTTAAAAATAGATCAACGTCTGTTAAACAAAAGCGCAAAGCCAAAAGAGGAAAGAAGTCGTTAGCTACGTAAGCCTAAGCTGAATGTACCGGCCAGATATCCTGTGCTCAGCCTGCGTGTGCGAGTGCGCTGGGAAAGGGAGAAATGCGTGACTCACGCTGTGCACAAAGCATGAGCTGAATCAAAGGCTGCAGATAGTGGAGGGGTTGTTCTCGCCGGCGTTTGGCATTCAGGGCTGTGCAGAGGATCATTGCTGCTTCACTTGGTTGCTGTATGTGGGATGAAAAGGGCACGGAGCCTTTGCGTCGCAGCACTGCTGCTGCCAAGTTTTTCTGATTCATTTAAGGGAGTGAGGGATGGCATGTAGGAAAGCTGTTTAGTTAGTCGGTGTTTGTGTTTAATTTCGGCCTAAGGAAGACAAGCATAACGATTATAATGCACACGCACAAAGTGCCTATTACTGTGGTGCCAGACTGTCCTGTCTGTACATTTTTCTTTAGAGAGGATAAAATCTCCATTTGCAGTTTGTAATATCCCCTCCATGTACACTGGCCAGACCAGACGCAGGTTTGCACTCCGTGCACAGCCGGTACAACTGCTGCTTTCAGGGATCCAGAGTGCCTTTTATTGGATCTGTGTTTGGGATGGATCCTGGAGTCACTGAGCACGCCTTGCTGCTGGCAGTGTCTGTTTTCATGCTGGGACTAAAATGTCCCCACCTGCAGGGCACAGCGCCAGAGGTGAAACGAAGAGCTCGGTGTCACCTTTTCGGGATGCTGCTGAAAGGCATCTGCTGGGATGCCTGTGAGAATTGCTGGTCCAAGGGGGATAGCTGTGTGCAGTGGGTCAGCGTGCGTGGCAGCCTGGCTGCCAGACTGCCTTCTCCTGGGGTCCTGTGGGGCGTTCAGCACAGTTTCGGCCCAAAAGGAGGGTTAGGGCAGCGAGACGGCTGGTGAGGCAGCTGGGCTGGGGAGGCGCTGGCTGTTTCTGCAGGCTGGTTTCCCTGGCAGGAGACGTGAGCAGAGGGAATGCATGCTGAGCCGGCGCGGCGGCTCTCCAACGTGACTGCACGGGGGTGGCGGGGAGCTGTGCTCGCTTGGGGATGTAAATGCAGAGGCTGTGGAGGAACAGGGAGAGCGGCACGCAGCTCGCCAGGGTTGGGAAGGGCTCCCTGGGGAATAGGCAGTGCTGCACTGAGGTTATCACGATGCTCGTACCCAGCAGAGCTGGGCAGCTGGGGGGGCCGACGTGCAGACTTTGGCTCTTCCCAAGCGCCCCGAGGCCCTTCGGGTCACTGATTTCTGCATCCTGTGTAATTGTTCCTGCAGGAACGAGAGCTCTGGTTGTTTGGCAGCTGATGGGAGGCTGTGCTGGAGGCAGAGGAAATGCACAGGGGGAGGAACTGCAGACGCCTGGCTGGGGTCGGGGGTGCTTGGGGCCAGGCTGTCCCTCCCAGCCCTTGCTGGGCAGGAGGACCCGTGTGGGGTGGGTTTGCCTGGGATGCCATCACCTTTGGGACTGCTTTACAGGAGGGGTTTTTGTCCTGCTCTCATCAGCAGGCAAGGGGGGCAGGGGCTGGCACTCCATCCCTGCGAGAAGCAGCTGAAGCGCTGGATGGTGCCCTGGGAGCACCCGTGGTCCCAGCAGGTGCCTGCGGTGAGGGCTGTGCCCCACAAACCATCACGCTCTTCATCCTGGCAGCGCTCTCTGGAGAATTAATTGACCTCGTAGGTTTGCCTGCCTTTGTCCTCTGTATGGAGCTATCTCAGTGCCAACGTGAGCCTGTCCCGGGGTGGCTTCAGGCTGTGGTCCCCCAGTGAGATGAATAGCTCAGCCCAAGCAGGGCTTGAAAATCGGGACTCTGGGGCATTGCGTGAGCGTTTGGGGAGGGCAGGGATGGGGTTCTTGCGGCGGAGGTGGGCAGGCTCCTTGCCACCCCTTCAGCTCTCATTCCTTCCTCTCGGTTCCCATGGGCTGCCGCTCGGACGCAGTGCTGAGTGTGGCTGTTAACTCGCACAAGTGATTAATACCTGTCTTGTAGCCAGAGAAGGGGGGGAAAAAAAAAAACAACAGAGTTTGCAGGAGGGACAGTCCTACTTCAGAAGATTGCCAAAATCGCTGGCGAGCTCCTGAGCAGTCCTTCACCCACAGCTTCTGTCTCCCAGTATATTCCAGTTCCTCAGCCTCTCGGGCTGGCTGAGCGGGCAGGCTGTGCTGCAGGCAGGGGGGAGCGGAGCAGCTGAGCTGTCTCGGGTGCAGAAAACGAGTGAATCACAAAATTGGAAGACCTGGGTGGGTGGTTCTTGTAATTTTTGTGAAGAAATGGTTGTTCTGAGTGATGGTCACATGCACCATCCCTTCTTCTCTCCCCGCCCTGCAGACATCCACAGCAAGAAGGAGAGGTGGTTTGCGTGCCGACTGCTTGTTATTCAAGAAGTAATTACTCATTGCTTGGGTTAGAAACCAGGATGGGCTCATGTCTGAGAACAGCGGCTGCAAAACCTTCCGGTGGGAATGTAAAATGCATTTAAAAGGTGCCTTTTGCCCTGACTTTGAAGTCTGTTCTTTTATTCAGGGCTGTCTCAGTGAGGTTTAAAACATCTGAGCAACACAGCAAGTGTAATAAAGTTTTCTTTGGGGTCTGTTAAGGAGGTTTTCCTGGTTCCTAGTGATGGAAAGGCCTGGCAGGCACTGCCTCGGAGTGTTTTCTGGCTGCACTCCAAGTATGTTTCCACTGGATTTGTGTTTACTGATGCCTTTTCTGGGGCAGCAAGGCAACGTCTATTTGGAGGGAGGTTTTCTGCAGTCACAGGGAGCTTTTTTGCAGTCTCAGGGAGCACACAGCCCTTCATGATTCATTTCCATGGCTTTTAGCATCCTAGAGATCAGTTATGCAAACCACGAGCCATCAGCTGAATCAGGGTTGTTGGCTCGGTGTCCTGGGTTAGCCCAGTACCAGATATTTGCCTGATTCACTTTTCTTCTTCTGCCAGCCTGTGACTCACTCGGTCACCAGCAAAGGTGAGCTGGTTGCAAATGCCCTGCATAGGAACATCCTTTCCAGGGAGATGCGCTTGGGGCTGCAGGTGCATGTCGGTCTGCAGGAGCTTGTCGTTGGCATCCCCCAGCCAAACCTCCTCCCTGCAAAATGAGGGCACACTCAACGTGACTCCCCTCCGCGGCTGTCACCCATGTGCCAGGGCAGGGTTGCAGCAGTGGAGGGAGACCGGCAGGTTTTCCCGGCACAAGCTCTGCATCACCCATGCCACTGTTCCCAGCCAGGTTTTCAAACCAGTTTGGTCCTCGGGCGAGCACTGGTTTTGTTCTGCCCTTGGAGGACCTGGCTGGGCTGCATCTCCCCAGAAAGGTGCCATCGAGAGCTGCAGGTCCTGCATGTTCCCTGGTGGGTTCTGAGCACCCGAGCATCCCGTTCTGCCTTATCCCGGGAGTCTGTGCAATCATCCCTGGTTGAGATGCAGGAGAAGAGGTGCAGATGAGCTGAGTGGAGGTGACACCGTGTGTTTTCCTCTTGTGCCTTCGCGTGCCTGTGCCGAGGTCCTGGCTCCAGGTGCTTGGTGGGTGTAGCTTTCAGGATGCCTCGGTAGATAAGGAGCTTCCCCATCCCCTGACAGCAAAGAAAAGATTAAACAGTAAAAGGATTTAGGGGAAGGGATTGGAGTAGTAGTGATTAAGTCATGGATCAGGATTTGTGATTAAGAAACTCTGACAGCAGTGTGGTGAGCCTGGTATAAATGCACAGGCAGGATTTCTGCAGACAGAGGTGCAGGCAGCATGTGGCCGAGTTCCGGCAGGCAGGACGGAAACCGCAGGCAGGCGTGGTGCTGAGCAGACCGGCTCCCGGCAGGCCCTTTCCTGCATGCTCGCCGCTCTTTGGGGGTCTCATTGCTCTGCTCTGCCCCCATTCCCTCCCGCCCCATCGCCAAATACACACATGGCTTTTGCTCTCCCGGCGCTTTGGCTCCTTGCATTTATGCATTGCAGCGACAGTTTGTGAGCAATCAACCACATGCGGCTGCTCTATCTGGAGCTCACGGTTTACAGGGGACCCTCCCGATGGCCGTGTGTCTCCGGCAGTGGCGGAGCGGTGCCCTGGTGCAGGCAAGGAATGTCCGTACCGTGTGGCAGCCCCGCGTTGGACGCCTGTCGGGACTGCTGAGGCTCTGCAGGAGAGCGAGGGCTGGGGTGCCGGGGGAGAGCAGAAGTGCTGTCAAACCCGATCCTGCACCTTGGGGTGTGGCGGCTGAGTTCTGGGGAGCAGTTTGCATCGGGCAGCTTCCCTCTGCCTGGTGCACATCCAGCTCCTCAGCCCTGGCACTGGCCACCTGTGGACGGCTGACCCCCAAATCCCCTCTGCAGCCTGTTACATGCTTATTCATTAAGCACAGCATCCCATTCCCATTCACCTCGGGGCCTGCTTAATCGCGTTTTGTGGTGTTTTCTCATGTCATACTTCCCTGAATTCCTCTTGGTAGTTTTTAACTCTCCGCCCAGGTGAGCAGTGACTCCCTGTTGCTGCCATTCCCACTCAGATGTGAGTGTTTCTGCCCTGGGAGCAGCCGCCCCACGGTCAGTCCTGGACGGTGTCTGGTCCTTGGGAGCCTTGCTGGGTTTTGCAAAGCCCCTCTGGTGCTGCCACCACCCTGGGTGGGAGCAAGCGGTGGGGAGAGGAAAGGCATAAATGGAGATTTTGATAGGTTTGCTGGCGTGGTGCAGACAACACCTCCTCGCAGGGGCTCGCCCTTGGCATGCAATTTATGTACATCTTCTCCGCTGTGTTCACAGGCTTCAATTCTTACAGAAAGTGCTTGAAGCTGGGGTTACACAGTCATTCTGGCAGATGGGAAGGCTGAGCTTTGGGTCATTGGACCCCCCATAAAATCTGACCCTGGAGCAGCCGTGAGGAGGGGAGAGGAGCCCCTCTGGAAGGGGGTGCACGGCAGGTGGCGGTTTAACCGTCTCCGTTTCTCTTTTCAGAGCCAAGTGGCCATGGTGACCTGCTGGTAGGGGAAGCCCGCTGGGACAGCTTGCCTGGGAAGCACCCCAAAGATGAGGCTCAACCGGAGATCGGAGCCACTAAAGCCAACTTGGATACTAAAGGGGAATCCAACCCCGAAGACTCGTTCCTGACGCAGCCGCCGGCTGAAACCCAGCCCTCAGCTACGCTGGGAAGCGGGGCTGACGCTGGCTGCGCCAACGTGCCCGCTGCAGAGCCGGCCCCGGTGCTCCATGCGGGCAGAGCCGCCCAGGAGCAGGTCATGTCGGGAGAGGACACGGCGGACCCCGGCACGGGGCTGGTGGAGCCGAAGGCTGATGCTATGGCCTGGGAGTGCTCACCCAGCTGGGGCCAGCTCGGGAAAGGGGAAACACCTTCGCTGGGGAGGAAAACAGAAGAAACCACAGAGGAGACTCCGGTGCCCCAAGCATCCTACCAGTTCGACCCCGAGCAGTATGACGAGAGCATAAACCCCTTTGTGGCAGGGGGCTGCCGGCTGCAGAGCTCCCCCCCAGCAGCCCCGCGCCACTTCCCCCATCCCAGCAGCAGCCCCGGTGAGCTGGGGGGGGACCCAGCCCCAGAGCCCAAAGAGCAGGTCCCAAAACCCGAGGTTGATTGTACGGAGGGAGGAGAGAGTGCGGAGGCCAGGAGAGCTGTGCCCAGGAAGGGCAGCAGGATCCCAGCCAGCAAGCTGACGCCGAAGAGACACCGAGAGCCCCCCAAGAAACCAGTCGAGGATGTGGAGAGGGGTCCCACGGAGCCGCTGCCTCCCCGGGGCTCCCCCCGGCTGGGTCCCGCGCTCTGGGACAGCCCGGGTCTCAACCCCTTTGGTGGCAGCTCAGCGCTGCAAAACTCGCTGACTCTCCCCAAGGGCTCTTACCAGTTCGACCCCAATAACTTTGACTCTGTGGATCCCTTTAAGTCCACCAAGACCCTCGCCAGCACCGCCGCCGACTCCTGCCCTACTGCCGATAACAGCCTCAACGAAATCCTCGAGTCTCAGACACTGGAGGTGCAGGACGATCTCATGAAAGGCAGAGACTCCCCAAAGAAGCCCAAGTCACGCCTGATAACGTGAGTGCCGGTGCGCGCGGAGCGGGCGGCCGGCTGGGGGCTGGCAGCCCCCTCTGTTCCCCCACGCGTGGGCAGAGCAGCGGTGGTGGTGATGGTGCTCCTGCCCCCGTGCCTTCTGAGCAAGCCCAAAATACCAACGGGCACCTTGGGTTCTGCTGCTGCCCCGGTTTTATCCGCCCCTTGTCCCAGTGGAGGGGCAGCTCCCCTCTGCCTGCCGGCACTCCAGTCACTCGGGAGTGGATGGGAGGAGAGGGACGGGTGTCCCGGAGCAGTGCTGGTGCCCCGGGTCCCAGACAGAGCGGGGAGGGCTGGATCGGGACCCGCTTTGCAGGATCACCTCTTTGGAAATCCCCTCGGGGCTCCAGCTCGTGGGGTCGAGGTGCAGGTGCTGTAGGGTTGTGGAGTCAGAGCAAACCTGTAATGGAGGCTGGAGCCGGCAGGGCTTGCCAAGTGCACAAGAGGGTTTGTAGGTTTTCTGGAGCTTGCGAAGGCAGGTCTGGTTAATCAGATGCTGCTGGGACATTTTGTGAGCTGCCACTGAATTTCCTTTTTTGTAACAGGGGAAGAGAATAGAGGTTAAACAGGCAGATTGTTTGTTGCTTTTATCACATCTGCACAGGGGGTAGGGAGCTTGTTGTCCCTTGCTGAACTATTTAAGTGCATATTTAGTTCCTGAACCGTGCTATTTAAAACCCCCATGTAAATGGTGACGTTTCATAGTGCCTCCTGGGAATGCATTACCCTCCTCCTCTGGGAACATGTTTAATGGCTAAACCTTGCTATTTTCTTGGTATTTCACCTGTTGTATCACAAATGTCCTCCAACCTGTGTCCGGGCAGTGCTGAAGTCTCAGCCTGACAGTTAAGATAGCTGCTGCTGAGCCAGGCTTGGCTCTACGTGCCCTCCTTCCGCAGCGTCTCTGAGTGGGCCAGGGAAGCAGAGGGGATATTGCATGAGGGAATAATTGCCCAGACAATTTTGGGTCCTTCCACTATAATTTGTGATTGCACTTAACACGGGTAATTGGAACCCATTGCAGGGTTAAGCAGGAAATCAGCTTAAAAGGGGAAATTTTAGGAGCACGGAGTTTGTGGCTGGTTTGACAGTAAAACCAGAACAAGCCGTCACTCTGCTAACGAATTCTCTGGTGAGAAAACTAGAGTGGGTTTTTACAGAGAAAGCAGATAAAACCTATCAGGCAAAAATAAGGGTATGTTGGATGTTTTTCTCTTGGAAATACTTTGCAGAGTGTCGATACAGTTTTTTTAAGAGTCGGCGTTTTCGTGTGTGTTACCGCGGGCGAGCAGGAGCTGGCGGTGAGGGGAAGCAGCGGGGAATTTTCAGGCTCCCTCTCTGTCACCTCAGAGCAGCACAGGCTGCTCCGGGCACTCGCCTGCCCCGGCAGCAGGATTTGTGGTTGAATCTCATCCTGCCACCGCGAATAGCAAATGCAGAATCAGAGCATCTTTTATCTGTATGTTCCTTCCAAAAAGACAGAGCTGTGCAACTCACTGTGCTTCTCCAGATGAGAGTTAATATCCAGGTCTTTTCACATGCTCTTCTTCTCTCCATCTGTCTGTCTCTCTCCCTGTCCATGCTTTGGTGCATCAGGACTACTGAACAAGTGAAATTTCTCTGTTTTCTGTTGTAAGTACTCTCTTCTGTATTTCTTTTTTCTTTTCCTTTGCTGGTTTTTGTCCTCTCTCTCTGGGTGTGTGCTGGCCCCACTCGTCTCCATGGCATGCAGGCTCCTTCTTGCCCTTTGACTCATGCTCTCCGCTGTCTGATTTGTGTCCCGCACCTCTCAGGCCGATCCCCGGGGCAGCTTAGCCTGGCGAGTGCCTGGGGGCGAGGGAAGAGAGCCGCACCGGAGGCGTGCGCCTGTGCTTGCTCTCGCAGCATGCCGACTCGCAACACCTTTTAATGATGTACAAGTCCTCGAAACCAGTGCGTCGGCTAGTGGAGGGGGAGCAGGTTTCTGTGCAATCCAGGTCTCTGCAAAGATGGGTAGATTTTAGCCCTGAAGATGAGGGTGTCTTTTACCCCCTCCCATGCAAAACCACCAGGGAGGCAGCTGCTGCAGAGGGGTAGGGTGGAAAGCATCAGCTGGGAGGCGAGGAAGTTAGGGGTCTATCTCCTCTGGCTCCGGGATGTGTCAGTCTCAGAGGAGCTTTGCCATCACAGTCGGCTCCAAACAGGGCTCTCTTTAGAACTTTGGTGGCTGCCAGAGCTGATTTGCTCGTGGCTGTACCCTGAAGCATCTCTCCTGTGCCCAAAGCCGGGGCGGTGGAGCTGGTCTGCGAGATCCTGGATGGGTTAGAAAGTGCGGCTCGAGTAAAGCAGCCTTTGTTCACTGCCCTGTGACCTGTGCTGCTGCAGCGGGGCCGTGCTGTACCCCTGGCATGAGCAGCCCTGCAGTGGGACACCAGTGAAATATCGAGTGCCCCGTGCTGTGCCCCCCCAGGGCTTTCTGCTGCCCTGTGCTCCCATCCCATGGGCAGGGCACACAGGAGGGACCGGGGTTACCCCCATTTAGTGTCCCAGCGATGCTCGGTGTCTCTTGCAGCTTGTCAGCCCCCCCAGACCCTCTGGGCTCATCTGGACTCTGCTCTCATGCGAGGGGAGTCGGAGGAAGGAGCGTTGCTGGGCTTAGTTCCTGATCTTATGTCATCCGTCCCAATGCCCTTCTTGTCTGCTTAGTGCCACCTACCATATGCACGAACAGAATTGGAGCTGGGCTCAAGCACTGACATCTGTGTCTCAGCCGAGAACTGATCTGCCTTTTTACAGCGCGATGTTGAACAGTGGATGTCTGTTTCTTAATGCGGGACCTGCAGCCCGGCGGGTCTGCCCATGCGTCAGGCAGGCACACAGGCAGTGCTGCCCACATTTGGGTTTATCCAGCTGCAAACACTGGTAACCCGTGCATGGGCGGCTGTGTGTGTCCCAGCTGTGGGGCAGAGCCGGGGCTGTCTGCCTTGGCTGTCTTCTCCCCGTTTCCCCATCCCCTTGAGTTACAGAGCTGTTATGTTGGTGTTGGGGGACAGAGATCAAACCAGCTACCAGATGGTGTGATAACACCGACCCCAGGAGATGTTGCAGAGCAGAGGGGTGGATAAGGACACGGTGAGCTGCAGTTTAGCTGCTCACATTAGGGCGTGATGGAGAAAAACAGTCAAGAGCGATTTTTTTCAGTCTGACCCAGGTGTGCATGTTAGCATGCAAATAAAATTTCCATGTGTGTGCCACATTGCTCATTGTGTTCTGCTGGCACACATGTGCGATGGGACGGGGAGGCTGGAGTGAAGCGGGTGGGGGTGATTCTTTAGACCTTGGTACAGCTCACTGCAAACCTGCTCGAGCCCCTGCCTGTGTCCCCCCGGCGGGGAGCGCCGTGTCTGGAGGTGGAGATCCCTCCTCACATATCCGTAGTGGGCTGTCACACTCCAGCTTAGTGAATATCTGTCTTCTGGGGGGTTGGAGCATGGCAGCAAGCCGGGGGAGATTGCTAACGTGGAGTGAGAGGGTGGTGAGATGCAGGAGGAGAGCTCGTGCTCTCCTTCACGTGCCAGGGGCAAGTGCTGCGATGCATGTCGTCTCATCGCTGACTCCTCAGCCCCCGCGGGCTTTGGTGACATGGACTCAGCGCTGCTGGGGCTGGTCCACAACTGTCTGTCTGCTGCCTTGAGCTGATTCAAGATGCTGATGCCTGGTGTGTCAGGATGCAGCTGCGCCTGCAGTCCTGTGCAGCCAAGCTCCAGGATGGTGCATTTCGAGGAACACAGGACAAAGTCCCGAGGAGAGCTGCCTCGCTGGAGGTCATCCAGCCACGGGACCACCTGCAAGAGCAACCTGAGCTAAACCTTCTCCCATCCGCAAGGCCCTTCCCCTTGGGACAGCATTTGCATCTGGCAGAGGGAGTGTTCAAGGCACAGCGGATTGCCCTGGTGCTCTCCTGCAAGCATAGCAGAGCTCTCTAACGGGTCTGACTCACGTGGGAGACACATGGATGCTTTGGAGATGTCCCAGACAAACCTCCAGCTGCAGGGACAGGGCATGAGGCGGCCTGGAAATGGTTCCTTCCTGCAGAAAGTCAATGGGCACTCAGACCTCAAGATGCCGTCATATTGGACACACAGGGCGAGGGTGCAACAAGGGAAATCTTTCTTTGCCGGCTCCTTGGCAATTGCCTCTCTCGCCGTCAGCACCTCGGGGTCCTGTCTCCGATCCTTACCTTCAACAGGAATAAAGACCTCAAAGACAAACCCAATTGCTTTGTAGTCATGTGTTTTGTTTGCTTGTTCCTTCTGTTCATTCCAGAACTTGCTCTGCCTCGATATTTCACTGGTGAGTGGGGTTGCTGGCACGCGGCGGGGTGCAATGCTAGCGCTGGGGCTGCCTCCCCTTGCTTGGGCTGTCTCGCACGTGCCCCCACCTCCTCCCCACGCAGCCCATGCAAGCCCGTGCCTCAGCTGGCCGCTTCTCTCTCCCCTGCAGGAGCGGCTGCAAGGTGAAGCAATACGAGACGCAGCCCCTGGTCCTGGACGTTTGCTCTCAGGTACGTTCGATCCGTCCCCAGGAGCTGCTGGCTGGGCGCAGGATGCTCGGATGGAGGCATGGGGAGAGCTGGGCTGGCTGAGCTTTGGGCTGGCGTGTGCCTGCAGCAGCACCTGACCAAAGGGCTGGTTCCCTGAAAGCAGCAGCTCCCAGCCGCGGGGACATCATCTTCCCCGTGGGCAGTTCCTGGTGGGAAGGGAGGGAGGAGGTCTGTGCTTGGTGCCCACCCCCAGGGTGAACCTGTCCCTGCGGGTTTCCTGGCCAGTAAACGCTCTCTCTTTTCCATGTGGTTCGTTAGGGACCATGTGCGTGCAATGTCTTAGCCCTGCTCCAGCGTGGACCAGAGCAAAGCACCGAGCTCTGCGGTCGTGTTAATGGATTTTGCATGTTAATCGCTTCTGTCCCCGGCACCATGTGTTTCTTTCTGCCAAAACCTGCTGAGGAGCTGGTGGGGAGCAGCTTGTCGGCAGATACTAAGCCTCCCGTGCTTACCATGTGCTGTCCAGCAACCTGGCTGCCTGACCCCCACGGATTAGCTCAGTCCTCCTTAACCGCATGCCTTGATCCTGCAGGATGAAGGAGTGTTGATCTCAGAAATCCCAGATATTGCAAATCGGGATGGACATGCCACTGATGAGGAGAAACTGGCCTCCACCACCTCCGTGCAGAAACCAGCCGGGCTGGAGAAGAAGGGCGAACCAGAAGATGACCTCGAGTACTTTGAGTGCTCGAATGTTCCCGTGCCAGCAGCAAAGCATGGCACGGAGGCAGGTAAGGAGCGTCCCCGCTGCCTCTGGCTCTGGAGATGCACCGTGGATGCACCCAGGCAATCTCTACAGCCTCTGGCAATGAATTGGTGCTGTTGAGGCAATGCAGCTTCATCACAGTTTATTTACACTGACAGGGCTAAAGGCTGCCACAAGTTATAATGAAACATCCAATTGCTTATCTGCACTACTTCCATTATGGAAAAATCATGGTACAGGCTGTCTTTAGTGCTCTCTTGGTACAGAGCACTCTCCCCACGGCCCCCATGGTGCTGTGGTAGGATGTGGCTCAGGCCGGCGAGGCTCCCTGCCCACGGCACACGCTGCCCTGCAGCCGTGCTGTGAGTGCCCTCCTGAAACCAGTGTTCACCAGCGAGCTGAGATGAGGGCTGAGCCGAGCAATCACACGCCTTTCAGCCGGGATGCTCCCGATTCGTGCCCTGCCTCCCAGGTTGCAGGGTGTCCTGCTCAAAGCCTGTGCCAGGAGCAGAGCTGCCGGGACTTGGTGTCCCAGCGCAAGGGCTGTGGTTGATGGAGATCTCCATGTCACTACAGAAGACCTCCGCTAATGATCCTGGTGGCATTTTGCTGTCAGTCTCCTATGTAATTAGCCTCTCTGACCAATCCATTAAAAAATAATTAAAAGCCAGGCAACATGACATTTAATCAATAGCCAAGTTATAGGTGCAAGCAGGAGAAATCACTGCACAGAATGTTTGCAGCTCTCCCCTGTGCAGGTACCCATTAATCATTTCTCCTGAATGCTGTGCAGAGCTGCAGGCTCTCAGGAGAGGAGAACAGTCCTTTGTCTCTGAAGGGAGGAAAAATTTGATAGTCAGTGGAGAGGCTGCGAGGTTTTGTTTATTGCTGCTCCTCTCAGAGGGCCAGGCAGGAGTGCACAGGCTTGGTGCTGGCTGCGGAGATGGTGCTGTGAGCTGTGGCAAGCAGCCGCTGGCCAGGGCGCAGGGATAAATGGGGGGAAACACTAGGAAATCCGCAGTCACAAGTGTTAGGTTGCCTCCTTCCTTTCCTAGCTGGGTTCTAGCAGTACTTTTTTTTCTCTGCCCAGTTAACACGTGAATAGCAGGTCATGTCTGCAGTTGTTTGAGTGAGGTTCATAAATTATCTCCCATGCTATGTGAGATGGCAGGGTGTCCCGCGTGCCGCAGACAGGAGGAGACGGCTTTTATCTTCTCTCCGCTGCTGTTAAGAATAGCAGGGGCCATGTGGCAGCTCCTTTGGAGGGCTTTGGGCCCAGTTGGCGTGGGCTGAGACTTGTGCTATTTAGAATGGCCCGAGCAGCTGGGCTTCACCCCAGGGATGCATCCTGCCCGCGCCGGCCAGCAAAGTGCAAAATGACCTGTGCATCTTCATTCCTCTTCCTCGGCACCTCGCGGTCCCGGGGAATGGCTGGCATGGGTGGCAGCTGTGGGGACACAGGCACGGGGCTGAACTGCCACCAGAGGGGAGTGTTGGTTTCCACTCCAGGGAATGCAGGAGGAGAGGCTGTCTGTCAGGGATGCAGGATGCTTCCTCCCTGCAAGGGCAGGAGCTGGGGGCTGGGATGCAGGATGCATCCTCCCTGCGAGGGTGGAAGCCAGGGGGCAGGGATACAGGATGCGTCCTTCCTGCAATGGCAAGAGCTGGGGGTAAAGAAGCCTTTTGGGAGGGGGAGCTCAGGGGATGTAGAGACTCAGGGGGTACCCCTCTGCATCCCAGCCAATCTGCATGTGCCACCAGGGTCTTGTTTCCAGGTAGCTAAAAGGTTGTTTCCTTGTCTTTAGGCTTTGAAAAGGAGATCTCCAAGCAGATGGAAAAGGATGGGCCTGGCATATTCCCCGTGAGTGCCTCTTGCTTCCTCCTCCCTCACCCGCAGGGAGGCTCAGGGTGGCTGTGCCGGTGTGGCGCTGGAGCGGCTGTGCCGGCGCTGGCGTGCGGCTCAGCAGGGCGGTGGGGCTGCGGGAGGGCTGATCCTCCTGCACCACAGCTGCTGCCTGCCCCGCTGTGCAGAGGGGTGGGGGGAAGCTGCAGCAAACGTTTCTGCTAATCCCAGCAGTGCTACCAAAGCCTCTCTGAAATGAGTTTCTTTGGGAGCTAAAATTCTTGAAAAGCCCACGCAGGGACTTGATAAAAATAGTGGTGATTTCCCAGCAGGCCAGGAGGAGCTTGGGAGAGGATGGCTCCCTCCCGGGTGGGCGCTGCTGCTCGTGGGTGGGAGGGAGAGATGCTGGGGATGGAGCAGGGCTGGTGAGGAGCCAGGTCTGTGGCCGTGGGAGGGCAATGAGAGCAAACACTGTGTTTGGAAATGGCTGAATGACAGTGAAAGGGCAGAGAAGATCACGGGGAAGGGACGAGCCGCAGGACAGGGGCTGTGTTTCACGTGGAGGAGTCCAGGGCTGGCTCTGACCGGTTGGTGCCTGTGCCTTCTACAAGGGATCCTCAAACGCTGCTTTCAGGAAGGCAGCTGACAGCAGAGACAGGGGGATTAATGAAAACAGCCCTGGCTCTGCAGCCACCAGTGACCCTGGCACCCTGGCAGTGACACATCTGCACGGGGGCACCCCCGATGTGCCCTGAGGAGCCATCTGAGTGGCCCTGAGACCCCTCCGCTGCAGGGGGGACCCTGTGCCAGCTTAGCTGCCCCTGGCCAAAGCTGCTCGACAATGAGATTAGCAACATCAGCAAAATTAGCTTCTCTGAGACAGATTTAACTATGCTAAGCCCCACAAGGACATTAGGCAAAGTGAACCTTTTGTTTGGTGCTGGGGAGAGCGTGGACAGGCTCTGCTCCTGCAGACGATCTGGGGTCATCCCAAAACCACAGTGTGGGAAGATTTGCCGTGGGGCAGGCAGTGGGCAGAGGTACTTGCAGGTGTTCAGGTGCACGCCTGCTTTTGGGAGATGCTGTGGGAGGCTGCTGCCAAAACCACACGGGGCTGAACCTCCCCAGTGTTAGGCTGCCCGGACCCAAACCTGCACCTGGGGGTGGCTCCTGCCACTGGCCATCACTTGCCCGCTGCTACAGGCAGCAGAGCTGTGAGGGGCTCAGTCATGCTTGAACCTGGGCAGCAGTCAAAGCGCAAGGGAGGAGGGCAGGAGAGAAGTGCTTTAGTTCTCTCGTTTCCAAAACACGGCAAAAGCAGACTGCCTCCTCCAAAGCACTTCTCTATTTATGGCCTGGCAGCCGGTTCCCAAGGAGATGGCTGCACAGGGCTGTCACTTCAGCTGGGATGATAAAAGGAGGAACAGGCGGTGGTGTAAGCCTTGGTTTGAAGGAATGCTTTTCTGCAGGCTGCAGGACCCCCCAAGGGAAGGGATGGGGCCAGCATGCAGGCAGGACTCGGTGCCTGGGTCACGGGGCTGAGCTCTCCCCCCAGTTTGGTCCCTGCGGCTGCAGCACTGGTGGAAAGGAGCTGGGCTCTGGGGGGAGAAAGCAGTGAGCGATGAGGGTACCACCACCTCGTCCCTCGTAGGAGCACCCATAATTGAAACAGGAGTGTGCCAGGAGCCCTGCGTGAGCATCTCAGATTTCGGAGCTCTCCCGGACAGCTGGGGCACTGTGGGATGAGTGGGGCTGTCCCTCGGGAAGGGGAGCAGGAGCAGCCTCAGAGCTGGGTCAGCCAGACCCTGCTCTGCAGGGAGGTGAAGCCTGCTTCCTCCACCAGCTCCCTTGTGCATTCGGGGCGATCAGCAAGGCCCAGCAAATGTCCCTGCAGCTGCTGGCAGCAATGTGAATGCATTGGCTGCAGTGACATCTCCACCTGACCAGGAGGTGATGGAGGCAGGCGACCCGGACCCTTGCAGACCCCAGGCGTGTGGCTCACAGTCAGCAAAGATCCTCCAGGCTGGAGATAGTTTAAAACCAACCATGGGGAAAGTTATGGGATGTCAGATGTGAGCACATCTCTGCTCAGAGCTGGGTCTTCTCCTTCTGAAATGGGCCCCTACTCTGTCTCCGCTTTGGGATGCCAAGCCCCGGGGTGTCCTACAGCGCAGCCCCAGCTCCCGGCAAGGGACTTGGCAGAAAGTGCACTAAAAACCCCATATGGGCTGTACTGGGTGTCTCAGGTACCAGGCTCTGAGCTGTCAGAGTGTGCGTGTAGGGAGGCTCGGTGCCTGAACAGAGGCTGATAAAATGGGGGAGAACACCCCAAACAGGAGAAGCAGGGTGAAAAGAAAACCCACACAGCATCCCGGCTGGGTAATTCCCCCCAGGGCAATCCCGGGCTGTGCTCCATGGACAAGTCCCCTGCGGCCATCACCAGCATGAGCAGGAGCGAAAGTCCCCTGGACGGCATCTGCCTCAGTGAATCCGAGAAGACAGCTGTGCTCACACTCATCAGAGAGGAGGTAACGGCCGGGGACCCCATCCTCCCCGGGTGCACGCCAGCACGGCAACCACCCCGGGGGGGCTGCCCCTCACCGGACCCCTGACGGCTGCTGCTGTGGGGAGGAGCGGGGGCAGCTCTGCTCTGCCCAGGGGGGGTCTGGTCCCCTGCGCATCACAGGCACGGGGCAGCAAGGGAAACCACCCAGAGCGCATCCCAAGGGTCCTGTGTCTGCTGCAACCTAGATAATCACAAAGGAGATCGAAGCAAATGAGTGGAAGAAGAAATATGAAGAGAGCCGCCAGGAAGTCTTAGAGATGAGGTAAAAGCCTTCTCCTCACGTGTTCGCCTGCCCACTCCCCTGCACAGTACGGCACTGTGCTTTGTGTGTTCCCTGTTGGGAGGTGGGTTAGTGGGGCTGTAATGGGATGATACAGCTCAGCATCGTCACGGTGGGACGTGTTAGGAGACGTGTACTCTTTGTGCTTGTGCTGTGTTGAGCCTGCTGGTTTCTTTGTTGCAGGAATAAAATCCTATTAGCTGCGCTGGCTCGAGCAGCAGCGGCTGGAGGGAGGTCTTAGCGTAGGGGAGCGATGGTGGGAGTTGCAGCATCAACAGTTGGGGCTCTGCAGACAGGCTGCTGCTTGGGCTGCCTTTGTGGCATGGGGAAGGGGCGGCCCCGGGGCAGTTTGCTGGCAGCAGAGCTGTAGGTGCACGTCTACAAAAAACTGCTGCCTCTTACCTGCTTTTTTCCTCCTTTCCTTCTAGGAAAATCGTGGCTGAGTATGAGAAGACCATTGCCCAGATGATAGGTAAGGTGCCGTCACCTGGCCGGGCTTGCAGGGGAGGGAGTGGCTGCCACAGCCATCCCCGCTCAGTCACTGTGTCCCCGCTGTTTATTCTCCATCACAGAGGATGAGCAGAGGACAAACATGACGTCTCAGAAGAACCTGCAGCAGCTCACGATGGAAAAGGACCAGGCTCTGGCAGACCTAAACTCGGTGGAGAGGTCCCTGTCGGATCTCTTCAGGAGATACGAAAACCTGAAGGGTGTCCTAGAAGGCTTTAAGAAGGTCCTTACCTTGGTTTCATCTTTCTCCCTGCAGCCCTGGTCCCTGGACGCAGAGTTCCCGTGCAGCATTGCCTCCACCTTGTTCCATGCAGCCTTGCCCCCGCTTTGTCCTGTGCTGCAGCACCATGGCTCTCCTGTCCCACGCAGTGCTGCTTCAAATGCCCCGGCCCTTGCTCGGAGGACTGCTCGCTCGCTTTCCTCTGCCTACTTTCTGATAAACGAGCAAAGAGTCTTTCAAATGCCAGGGGAAGCCAGTGCGGGGAGCTGGGGTCTCCAGGCAGCTGGCTCTTCTTCACACTCCTCCCCAGCACTCTCCTGCTGAGCTGCTGGCAGCAGAGCATTGTGCCCTGGGCAGAGCTGCGGCCAAGGGAAAAGCAGGTGCCAGGGCAAAGCACCCTGAGAAACCCTGCCTCCATTTACACACCATTTTAAAATGCTGCCAAGCTGGATAAGGGGCTCCAGCATAAGGGAGAAGCTGATTCTATTTAAAGCCTTTTTCTTTTACACTCAGAACAGGGATATTCATCCCGTCAGAGCAACACCTTTGTGCTCAGTCCTGATGCAGATGGATGTACTTTTTTTTTTCCCAGAATGAAGAAGCTCTGAAGAAGTGTGCTCAAGATTATTTAACCCGGGTCAAGCAAGAAGAGCAGCGGTATCAGGCCCTGAAAGTCCATGCAGAAGAAAAATTAGACAAGTAAGATCATGCATGAGATTGCTGGGCACGCTGAGGAGCTTTCTGGGTGCTTAAAGACCTTGTAGGGCAGTGTCTCCCTTTGGTTTTCCTGAGGTTGTAAGGCAGCAGCTTATTGATGTGAAAATCTGCCTTTTACAACCTCAGGCTCAAGTGACTTAAAAAGGCTGTAAGTAAGCCAGCACAAATCCTTGAATGGATTTTCTGATCTCTGCTTAGTTTTTTTCTAATGGAGAAACTGGGGTTCATGGTCTGTTTACAGTCACTTAACAAGTTTCCACGTTTCAGAGGGCTCATGTTTGTGGTGTGTGAAGGGGTCACACAGCTACTGAGGCTCAGCTGATGAGCAGTAGCTCACCAACACATGGTAGCCCCGAGTAAAGTGGGTGAGGAACTGGTTTAGCTTTGCTCTGAGAAAGGAGAGTTTCCATACAGGAGTTTGGAGGAGCTGAATTAATCACATTTCATGCAGGTTTTCCATATGGGAAAACCACCTCTGATGCACCCAGGCAAGCAGGAGCTGGGCTCTGCTGATGCCACGTGGTCTAACGTTGTGTCGTGGTGCTCCTGGCTGCACCCAAAGACGTGACCACTGTCCCCTTCTCTCCAAACCCCACTGCAGAGCCAATGAGGAGATTGCCCAGGTGCGCATGAAGGCCAAAGCGGAGAGCGCGGCGCTGCACGCCGGGCTGCGCAAGGAGCAGATGAAGGTGGAGTCCCTGGAGAGAGCCCTCCAGCAGAAGGTAACGCACCCACCCTGCCTCCTCTCTGCGAGCCGCGCTGGCTTTGCTCTGCGTTTCCATTTTGCAGCCCTGAGCATCCTGTTGGTGCTGGATGTGTTCTTCACATGTTTGGCCCAGAAAGTGTTTTGTGTTTTTGGGGGTTTTTTGTTTGCTTTTTTGTTTGTGGGTTTTTTTGTTGTTGTTTAAATGTACGACTGCGTCCTCTCACAAGGAAGGAGATGCAAGCTCTGCGCAGGCATAGGCATGGCTGCGTGCAGTGACATGGCTGCCAGTTCAGGGCTGGCGTGCATTTGGCTGTCTTTGACCATGGGCAGAGCTTGCTCACCTGTGCCCGTTAGCCAACACGCGGGCTGAACAGAGCACAGTGGGCTGCTGCTGGGCAGCTGCGGGTCTCTGCGCAGCACCAGGATCTGTCGGAGACGAGGAGGGGTGAGCCCAGGGGTTCCCATGGCACCTGGGTGATGCACAGAGGAGCTTTTGCAGGGGCAAGTGTAGGAGCCAGCTGCCCCTTCCTGCACTGGCTCGGTGGCAGATGGGCCCGAGCATTATCCCCTATCTGTGCCGCCACAGGGGTCCTTAAGGTCTGCTTTTCTTCCAGAATCAGGAGATTGAGGAGCTGACCAAGATCTGCGACGAGCTGATAGCAAAGCTGGGAAAGACTGACTGAGTCTTACTGCCCCTCGTCCAGCACTCTGCACTTCTCCGCTTTTCTCGTAACGTCAAGCACCTTGCCTTATTACCCAGGAAAACCCCCCAGCAGAGAAGCACACGCGTCCAGCTGCCGGCTCTGCTTGGCTGCCGGACCCCGTGGCCCCCCGTGCAGAGCCAGTCCCCACACTGTCCCTGTCTCTGTTTCCCAAGGGCTCTGGGGCTGGGTTCCCCACGGTCAGGCTGGGCGTGCGTGTCCCTCCTGGGGTCAGCAGCAAGCAGCCTCTGCGCTGTCTGTCTGCACGGATGTGACCTCTCATCTGGGAGGTGACACCCCAGGCTCTGTCCCCCTCGGCCACGGTGGGTCTAGTCGTGCCCCTACATGCTCTGTCACTTACTGTCCTCACATGCTCAGTTGTACAGGTCCAACCGTGTGGCAGGCCCTGCCCCGGGACGTGGGTGATGCCAGGGTTGGACCCGCCGGCTCTTGCACTGGGGAAGGGGACCTGGTATGCGGGTGCACAGGTGGGGAGGCAGCGAAGGGGCTTGGGGACCCCAGGCACCCACCACAGGTGGTTTGTGGCCACCAGTGTGGATCCCCTGGCTGAAGCAGCCTCCCAGTAGATCGATCAGTTTTGGGGGAGGCACCGGTATTCAAGGGGCTGGTCCCAGTCTCTGGTACATGGGTGATACACAGCACAGCGCATCCTCGTCCCTGGCCGTGCCAGCCTCGGAGGAAGGAAGCCGATGTCTCTGCATTCGTGCACTTTATTAGCATTTATGAGCACTCAGGCTCTCTGCTCACTTCTTCCTCTCGGGCACAGTCCTGCTGCATGTCTCGTTCCCCCAGGAGCACGGATACGGCCACTTAACCAGTAGTAACTTAAGTCCTCTCAAAGGAGAGCCCGGCCAAGGGGAGTGCAGGAGGCTTCTGCACCAAGAGGTGTTTGAGAAATGGGGGAGATGTTGGTTCTGGCAAGCTGGGACTTGTCCGTCTTTCCTCCCCATGGCCGCCCTGCCCGCAGCCCTGGCACCTTCTGAGGCTTGTTAACGTGGGGTTTCTAGTCTGCTTTAAAATACACAAAGCCAAGCCCCTTGCTGTTGACTCCCCGCGCCATAGTGAGGTTAGTTCCCCACTTTGGATGTTGCAGGAGGAAGGAAGCAAACCCTGAACTACTTCATGATTCTGCTGACTTAAGGCTCTTTTCCCCAGTCAGTACAGAAAGGCAAGGAGGAGAGCGGTACTGCCCTGGGTCTTGTGCTGCTGTCAAAAATACCCTTACAGCACTGAATATTAAGAGAACCAAACAAAAGCCAGCCTTTACAGGCAAAGGCAGATCCAGATAGCAGTAAAATACACTTTGAAATCTGTCTGGATGCAGCCCAAAGTCTGACTTTCCATGCAGGCAGGCTGCCTGCTCTATTTCAGAGGTGTTTACTTTTCTGGACATGCCAAGCTCCAGCAGAATTGCTGAGATTGCCTTTGCACTGTGCTGGGAACCGGGGGGGGGGGGGCTCGGGGGTCTTACGTTGTGCGTGTGTAGATCCTGTGCGTGCCCTCCTGGTAACACCGTTGCACGAGCCAGCCTTGCCCAGTGAGTTTTGCCGCTGTGCATGCTGTGTAGCGCCGCGTTTCCCCGGCTCTGCACTGCCTGCAGTAACTGGCAGTGCCCGTACCAGTGCCATGGGCTGGGGTGTGCCGTGGGCCGTGGGCGCTGCCCCTCAGGGTCAGTGCAGAACCGTCCCGTCCTGCAGAAGGCAGATCGATGGGATCAGGCAGTAGCTGTAGTGATGGAGGATTCTTTACCATTGCCTTGAACAGCTAATCGTAAAGCATCAAATAAGGGAAATATTTGCTGTTTGGACTGTTTCCTGCCCAGCCTATCTAAGACTTTCGCAAACCTTTTTGCTGCTACCTTTTTGTAAAAAAAAAAAACAAGCTGTTTTCCTTCTATTTTCTAATTCCCTGTGTTGAGCGTGCAGTGCAAACATCTGTTTAAATCAGAGCCATACACCTGATATATATTTTATTAGTTATTATGTATAGAGAGAATTTATTGTACACTTAAGAGACAAAGATGCCGGCAGCCTGCCCTAGCATGCAGAGTTCACCGTGCTCCCGGTTAGACCAGTGAATGGGCTGGTAGCTGTGCAGTGGGGAAGCCGACGGCTGGTACTGATCAGAGCTGTGCACCTGTGTCTGTGTGCTGAATATTCACCCCCTTGCACAGCTGACAGAAAGGGAAAACCTTTTTTTCCTCTTTTTTTTTCCTTTTTTTCCTTTGTCCTCCCCACACATCCCTCTAATGGGCTGGTAGAAAAGCCTCTGTCAGATGATCTACAAAGACTATTTCTGTTGGGGGAGTCAGAATGCCAGCCCCAGCCCACTGGAGTGTGACTCCCCTTCCCTCCATTTCATCAGCGTTTGGGGTTTGCAGACTATAGCACCGCTCTCCTCTTCTCACGTGTCCCGCTCCAAAACAGCTTTCCTGCCTCGACGTGAGTGGCCCTTTCCTGGCTGCAGTTAGCTGAGCTTTGGCAGGGTGGTGGTGACAGTGGGGAGTGACCCCCAGAAGGTGCTGCTCCTTTGGACCTTCTGAGGGTCTGTACAGGTAAATTAAAACCCTTGAGACCCAGGGATTTCTTAGGGAGTTGGGTTTTTCTCTTTGTTCAGAAATCGAAGGGAGCAGGTCACCAGAGAGCAGTGTTGCACAAGCTCTTGGAGCTCGTAAAAAGTTGATTTGGGTCTAGTTTCTGGTTTGGCACACAGGTTCACTGTCATGCTTGTAGCAGTGGTCGAGGTCCCAGCACGAGGCTGATGGAGCCAAAGCACAGGGGGCAGGTCTTGGCTAGGGACCGCAGGTCGTGGCAGCCCTCAGCCTTGTGCTCTGCACGGGGGCACGCTGCCCAGTGTGCTGGCTTTACAGAGTTATAAATGCCCCAGTCCATCTGTGTGAATGTTTATTTCCCGCTCTACCTGAAGGGATGAAATTTGGTTTCTGTGTTTGCTGCGGCCAGCCAGGGCCAGGTTTGCTCATCTGGAGGGTCAGCTCCGAGGAGCAGAGCACCAGGCTCGGGGCGTTGGGCTCACTGGGAGTCTGACCTGAGCATGTTTGAGTCGGTCTCTCTTCAGGGGCATTGTTCTGGCCCCAGAGGTGGCAGATAATTGCAGAAGTTTTGATGTCACTACTCGGCACTTCGCCAGAACCCCAGCCTGCGTACAGCGCAGTAAATGCTGCAGTCTTCCCTCTCCAGCAAAGAGGAGCCGCCTGGAAGGCCAGGCTGTCTGTGGAGAGCAGCTCCCACGGCAATAATCCGCTCTGGCAGAATCCTCCCTGTCTCTGCTCCCTGGCATCTCCCAGTCCCACTTTTGCTGCCTCTCTCACCCCAGTGCTGTTGTGTTCCTGTGCCTGTCAGCATGCACTTCCAGTCTGGGCAAAGAAGATTCCTAAGGAATGATTTATTAACTATAATATGGTTATAGTTACATATATAAAAATATATATATAATGGTTATATATAATAGAAGGCATGTGTTTGTAACTAATAGGGCACGACTGTTGCATCTCGTGTGCCGCTCTCTGGCGTGCGGAGCCGGCAGCAGCACTGCGGCCGGGGCTGGCTCGGCCCCGGAGCTCCCGCTCGGCGAAGCTGCAGAGGCGTGATGCCGGCGCTTGCTAACCGACAGCACTGGGGCAGAGCCAGGAGCGTGGTGCTGCTCCCGCGCGGGAGCCGGTGGCAGGAGGGGCACACAGCGACTCCCTCGCATGTCTTGCAAAGACAAGGGCATTCAAACACCGCCCCACTGTTCCAGCCAAGATGTGTAACCAGCGCAGGGAAACTCTGCAGATACCCGTGTGTCGGGATCACAGCCTGGTTGTATTTGTCGTCTTTTTCTTGCAGTAGAATTTAAATATCCCTTTCTGACAGTGGTGGGTGCCTTCCCTCTTGGAAGCTGCAGAGGCGTGATGCCGGCGCTTGCTAACCGACAGCACTGGGGCAGAGCCAGGAGCGTGGTGCTGCTCCCGCGCGGGAGCCGGTGGCAGGAGGGGCACACAGCGACTCCCTCGCATGTCTTGCAAAGACAAGGGCATTCAAACACCGCCCCACTGTTCCAGCCAAGATGTGTAACCAGCGCAGGGAAACTCTGCAGATACCCGTGTGTCGGGATCACAGCCTGGTTGTATTTGTCGTCTTTTTCTTGCAGTAGAATTTAAATATCCCTTTCTGACAGTGGTGGGTGCCTGCCCATAAGCCACTAGTGTTGCTGTTTGCAAGTGTGCATTTGCCAGCAGATCTCTGTCTACAATGAAGTGCCAACGAGTAACCACCCTGACTGCAGATCGCTTCCACCCGTCCCTGCAGTGTGCCCCCCCAGAGGCAGGAACTTTCTCTGCATTGACTACTACCCCGATCGCTTTGTACTATGTATGTAACTGCCATCGCCATCAATTTTATATGTACAATAATTTCCCTTTTATATGTCAGGTAAATATTTGTAAGAGTTATACTCACACAAATGAGATTATTATAATGATTACTAATATATTTTTTCCATGTTTCATTGCCTGAATAAAAATTGTGTTTATCACTCTTGAAAGCTTTCTTGGTGTTTGTAAGGTCGGTGAAGGGATTTTGGAGAAGTTGGCTTTATCTTCCAGGAAGGGCCATATTCTGCCACGGTTTTATTAATGTGGTTGATAATGCAGTTGGTTTCAAATAAGCATGGTTATCATCTGTTCCTGAAATCTGTGTTCATAAACTATGAAATTCAGACCTGAGACAACTTTGACGCCCCGTTGACTCCTACCACGCTGCAAGGATGCACCCGGCAGATTCCGCTGAACCGTGGTGCAGCCCCTGGTGAGCTCAGCCAGGAGGAAGAGCCAAGGGCAGCGGGGAGACATTGGGCAGTGGGACTTGGCTTAGTCCCTGCACTGACCCTGATACTTTCATGGCCTTGGGTAAATCCCTCTGTAAGGATGGAGACCGCCGTGCCCAGCTGAGGGCTGGGGAGTAGGTGAGCGCAGGGACAGCTCTGCTGGGCTCCCAGCCCCATACGGGTTTTCAGTCGTTCTCTTGCACTTCTCTTTTGGGTGGGTTGGAAACTTTGGAGGCTTTTTCCCCAGCTTGGCTGCTGCAAACAGCAAGAAAGGGGTTATTCTCTGAATGGAGCAGATGGGCTTGGACGAGGTCTTTGAAAGCCGGCCAAGGTAATGTGTCTGGAGATGGAGAGGGTTCCCAAAGCAGGCACCAGCAGGATATGGAGCAGAGCCCAGCCTGGCAAACGTGGGCAGGTCTGGCCACCTCCACCAGCACCGGGCTGGTGCTCTGCCCCACTCCCATGCCCTGGACTGGCCCATGCCCTTGGGGAGCCATGTCCTGTCCTCCCCTGCTAAGATGGCATTAGCCAGGCACTGCAGTAAGTGTGTTATCCCCAGCCCAGTGATCCAATCACCCAAGCAGATTAGCTGTAAGACCTTAAGACAAAACAGAGGCTACGCGCCCCGTGCTGCACACTGCTGAAAATGTCCGCCCTGAAGACCCTCCTGGCCCTGGCCATCGTCACGTCCCTGGCTGGAGAAAGTAAGTGTCCTGTAGCTCAAGGCAGTGCTACGCAGGGTAAATTGCTGTAGCTGCTCTTCTGCTTGCTGGCTGCCCTGTCCCTGCCGCCTGCCCACAGGCTTGCATGCGCCCATTGTGCCCTTGCCAGATTCTGCTCCCATCCCTGTAGCAAAATGGCGTTTCAGGGGGACGGTGGCTTTCTCCTCCTAGGAGCACCCAGAGGAGCGCCCTGCCCCTCGCCCTCTCCTCTGCCGCTTGCACAAAGCACAGGCGTGTGGTGCCCAGCAGGGCCCACGAAGCCTCCTGGTCTCTATCTCTGATGGAGCCAAGGAGGTACCTGAGCCAAAGAAAAGCAGCTTCTCATGGCTAGAGTGGTGCTTCCCAGCTAAAACTTGGTTCCTCAAAGGCAAAATCACAAAAAGCCATCTTAAAAGGTGGGAAGGTGGTTGTGCTGCACAGAGCAATGCCATGGAGTGTGGTCAGGTCGGGACGGTTCAAGATCTTTGCACCAGGAGAAGATGAACCACAACTGTGTTTTTAGCTAAGGGTAAATGAAAGGTTGTACCATGCTGCAAAGACCCACAAAGGAGAAGCACGAGACAAGCAATCCCATTGTGGAAGTTGAGGACAGTGTGGGTTAATGGCAGGCGTTTACTGGCATTTGGCCCCATGAAATCCCAGTTTCCCCGAGACATCATTTTTCTCCTTTCCCATGAGGTGAAGGTGGGAGCTCTGGCCTCCTGCAAGACCCACCCTGCTGGCCAGGAGCTGGGCCCCGCTTGCCAAGAGAGGGCTCTGCTCAGCCAGCAAAGCAGATACAAATTTTACTCCCAACATCAGTGGTAATTTAACCATCACCATCAAAATCAAGTATTCGTAATTTCAGGGGGGATCGTCAGGTTTGGGTTTTTGGAGGGGGGGTGCTTTGTCTGCAGATATTTAAAACAGTGCTGTTATTTAAAGTCTCTTACTGTCATAAAATGATAATAACGCTTTCACATTTGCTCAGCTGGTTCCTAAACTGAGCTGGGACCTCTGGCAGCTGTGCATTTTCCTCTCCTAAAGAGTCAAACAGCTCTCATACCTATTATCAGCTCTGACGCACAGAGTGCCGGTGGAGGCGAGGGGCTGGTTATTATCTGACATGCCTGTGGCCTCCTTTGAGGACAATTTGGAGATGACTCGTCCTTCCTGACACACACGCCTGCCTGGCACTTTGCTGCCTGGCACTGCACTTCTTCCCCTGGGCAGTGCTTTTGGGGTGCGCTTTCTGTGCAAAATGTTGCATGGGGGAGCTGCTGTAGTTTAGAGACACACAAATGCACAAAACCTGCTTCTACAAGTCAGATGAATCCTCCCTTCTCCCCCAAAAATGCTCATTAAAATGAAATTTGGCACAAGGAGGAAAAGATCTAGGGTGGATTTTTTTAAATATTATTTCTACCTATTTTTACTGTAAGGGAAATTACAGGAATCTCAGTTGCAGGAAGTTTTTCCAGAGCAAGGACTCGGAAGAGATAGCCTGCCCAATTTAGCTCTAACCATTTTCCGTCATACTTGAAAGTTTTGCATGCATTTCATGGACAGGAGAGACCCCCACCCCAAAGTCTGCTGTGTGCCGTGGCCTTGCCAATTCCTGGCCGGCAGAGCTGCTCGGCTCTGACCAGTGCTAACCCTCGCCCATGACTCCCTGCCCTGTGCTGGGGGTCACCAGTGGCCATGGAGACCCACAGACTGCAAACGGCCCTCGGGACTCCAGGGCGGCGCAGCGCTGCCGCTCTCACTCCTCCTCCTCCTCCCCGTCTTCACCCAGGTAAAGCGCTGAAATGCCACAAATGCATTGCGTCCAACGAGAACGACTGCAACAAGCAGGGCTCCCACAGCTGCCCCCAGTACGCCGACGCCTGCTCCACGATCACTGCGCCAAGTAAGTCCCTTGGCTGGGGGGATTAGGGGTGCTGGGAGGGGACCGGAGGAGCTGGGGGGGGGGGCAGAGGTGCTGGCAGGGACCAGAGGGGCTGGGGGACCAGTGGGTGAGGAGAAGCAGAGGACCTGGTGGGACAGACCAGGAGCTGGCTTCCCCTTGTCCCCATGAAGCAGGGATGAGCCGCCTGTTTTTTTCCAAGTTTTTAGTCCTCAGAAACAGGCTTTTGGTCTGAGATAGCTCACAGTCTTTCCTGGCGTAAGGAAAGTCCTTCTTTGTGACATGCTGCTCCCATCCTCCAGAAATGCTTCACCACCCTCAGCACAACCGTGCGGCTGCAGGGCAGCAGCATGGCCAGCGAGACAGACAGAGGTGGTTCCCAAAACCAGCCTCCCCTCCCACCTCAGGTTTACTCCATAGCCTGGGCTATATGTATTTTCACACGTGGCTATAAATATGTGCTCACTATTTCACAGCGGGGCTGTGCAATGTGCTCCACGGTGACTTGGAGTGATATGACCATGGGGATATCCCTTGGCCACCGGACTGCTGCTCGGCTCTCCTGGCAGTCCCATGTGCAGGAGGGAGACCCTTTTATTCCACATCCGTAACACAATGTGCTGGGACACGGCTCTGCTTTCCCCCTTTCCTCCCCCAGCTTAGCAGGTGAGGAGTGAAGCCCCCAATGCCCAGGAGTGCCTGACCCCCGTGTGCCTTTCCTTGCAGACAGCGTCATTAAGTCTTGCTCCTACAAGTCCTTCTGCGACCAGGCGCGGCGCGGCGGCTCTGGTGGGGCCACCCTGCAATGCTGCTTCAGCGACGACTGCAACGGGTCTCTGCGGGGCTCCGGGAACAGTGGAGGGACCACGCTGCTGCACCTCCCCAGCCTGCTGGCCGCCACGCTGGTGGGGAAGCTGTTGCTGAGCTGGCTGTGAGGGTCCCGGGCGAGGGGCAGCCGGCCCAGCGTAGCTGCTTGCTGCAATAGGCTAGGGACGTACTCAGGTCGGTGGCCAGTGGGTTTGCTCTCTGCTTAAAGCACAGGAGAGGCCAAGCCACCATCAGTCAAATAAACGCTGCAGTTGAAAATTGCGTTTCCAGCCACTGCTTCTCATTTACGGGAAAACCATAACCTCTGGAGAATGGCCCAAACCAAACTGATTTGGCTTCCTGGTGCTCCCTATGGGAATGGGAGCTCATTTGAGCACAGCCACCCTGGGAAGCTTTGCCAGGCAGAGGTCAGGGGGGCCTGGGGCAGAGCCCCCCTCCCAGCACGCTGCCCCGACAGAGATGCTTTTGGGCTGCTTTGTGCTAACTTGAGATTCACAGCTGTGGGGAGCATTTCTTTCCTCCTGTGGCTGCAAAGATATGGGCCTGGACAGACTATAAATGTATTTGGTGTGAAATATTGGCCGAGCCTGTTCGGTGCAGCTCTTTGCGCTGCTCAG